TGGGATGGCTCAGCAGGGTGGAGGAAGGGGAGAATCCACACCAACCCAGCTCTGAGTCCCTCACACTGGGAGCAGATTCCCCGAGCAACAGCCCCTGGCACAGCCACGTGGGAGCAGCGGCTCAGGAGCCCTGGGATGGCTCAGGGAGGGCAGAGGAAGGGCAGGAAGGGGCAAATCCCCCCCCAATGTGGCCCGGGGAGCAGGGGGGCCTCACCTGAAGGCGTAGGAGGAGGCGATGAGGGTGAGGGTCACCACGTGGTGCAGCAGCATCACCACCGAGTCCTTGCGCCACGTGTCCATGTAGGCCGTGGCGTAGAGGGAGTGGCCGTAGAAGCTGCCCTGCAGCAGGTACGCCACGGCGATGTCCCTGGGCACCTCCATGCCCTGCTTCCAGCCTGGGGGGGGCACAGGGACGCCCAGGTGAGCCCATGGCTGTGATCCCAGAGCCCCTGGCAGCAGGGAGGGGGGTGCAAACACCGGGGAGACCCAGCATGCCGCCGGGCTTGGGGGCTCCAGCTCCCTCCCAGGGCATCGTGGATGCAGAGCCTGGGTGGGGATCCAGCTATCCTGGCTCCCAAACTCTGCCTCTGGCATCAAATCCCCTGCTGGATCTAAGAGAGAAGGCTTGATTTGGTGTCCCTGCCAAGGGATTTGGTGTCCCTGCCCATGGCAGAGGGTGATCTCCAAGGTCCCTTCCACCCCAAATCCACCAGGATTCCTCCAGGATTCGATTCTCTCCTGCAGAGCCTGGATGGGGATCCGGCTATCCTGGCTCCCAAACTCTGCCTCTGGCATCAAACTCCCTGCTAGATCTAAGAGAGAAGGCTTGATTTGGTGTCCCTGCCAAGGGATTTGGTGTCCCTGCCCATGGCAGAGGGTGATCTCCAAGGTCACTTCCACCCCAAATCCACCAGGATTCCTCCAGGATTCGATTCTCTCCTGCAGAACCTGGATGGGGATCCAGCTATCCTGGCTCCCAAACTCTGCCTCTGGCATCAAACCCCCTGCCAGACTTAAGGAGAAGCCTTGATTTGGTGTCCCTGTCCACAGCAGGGGGTGGAATGAGATGATCTTCAAGGTCCCTTCCACCCCAAACAGTTCCATGACTCGATTCTCTCCTATAGAGCCTGGGTGGGGATCCAGCCATCCTGGCTCCCAAACTCTGCCTCTGGCATCAAACCCCCTGCCAGACACCTGCCAGATCTCTGCCAAGGGATTTGGTGTCCCTGTCCATGGCAGGGGGTGGAATGAGATGATCTCTGAGGTCCCTCCACCCCAAACCATTCCATGACTCGATCCTCTCCTGATTAATCTGCTCACCGCCCTCCAGCCCCCGCTGACTCCCTCTGAAAGAAATGGTCAGAGCAGAGCCCCTCATGCCCTTTCTGCACCCACAGCATCAGAGAAAAGGAAATTTAGGGGTTGTCTTCTCCTTCTCTCCCCCCAACTCCCATTCCCAGACCTCCCAGTCCACCCCCAGCTCTCACTGTACCGTAAAAGACGGAGGGGGGGTCGTGGAAGAAGGGGTAGTCGGTGAAGAAGAGCAGGTAAGTGCCGTAGGACCAGGACAAGGTGTAGAAAAGCAGCTTCCAGGCACTCTCAGGCATCTTGGCAGCATCTTTTGGCTGCAGGTTGCACCATTCCCCGAAGGGCTGCAGGGAGAGGGGGGAAAAAACCATCAGAAAGGGCAAGAGGAGAGGCCTCGGGGAGCTCAGGGCAGAGATCCCCGACTCCCCAAAGGATCTGAGCTCCGTGTGCTGCTCCAGGGGCAGGAATCCCGTTTTTCTGGCCTTCCTTACAGCAGGAATGAGGGCAAAGGGGCTGGAGAGAGCCCAAAGCAGGGGGAAAAAACCAGATTAGGGATCCTTCCTGGAGCCTGGCACAGTGTGCACCCCACACCCTCCAGGAGCTGGGCTGAGCAGAGGCTGCTTTTGCAGAACAGAAATAATGAATAAAATAACACGATAACGAATAAAATAAAAATAAAGCCCAGCCAGCACAGGGAAACCCAGGAGAGGAAGCTGCAACAACACCATCCTGTGCAGATGGACCTTGGAAAAGCTTCCAGGAAAGAGTTTTCAGCTGGGGAGGGAAAGGCTTTGCAGAGCCCTGGGCACAGGGGCAGTGCCAGCCAGCCAGCAGGGAATGGGGCAGGGAAGGCTGGCACAGCAGGACCCGCTTTCCCAGCAGCTTTCCCAGCTGCCCAGCACTGAAACCCCACTGGTATTTCCCCCCTCCGTGGTTTGCAGCACCTTCCCACCCCTTTGGGAAGCAGAGGCTGGAGGCAAAGCCTCCCCAAACTCGGCTGAAGGCAGGGACGGGCATGGGCAGCTCTGTTTGTGTGAACCAGGACAAAACTCTCCCAACCCCGGGTTCCCCCCACACTCCCAGGGGGGAAAGGACCACCCAGCCCTCTGGGCCACTTGGGACAACTTGGAAATGGTAGGAAAAGCAGCTGAGCAGCCTGGGATCTGTGGGAGTGAAGCAGAGCAGCCGCCTCTGCCCCCGGTGCTGCACCTTCCCCCTGCCCACAGGGGCTCCAGGCAGGGATGTTTTCCCCCTCTGTGGCAGCTGAGCAAGGCCAGGCCCCATCTCTGCTTCTCCTCACGGCACTGACAGCCCCCCTGCACAGCCCCCGGGGGGAGCAGGGGAGCCCCAGCCCGGGGAAGGGCTGCTCCAGGTCTCTGATAACACCCAGAGACCCCCCCTGCCCCAGCTGGGAGCTCCTCAGGATGAGCCAGATAAGCTGGAGATGAAAACAAAACGCCTGGAAAGTAACTGTACCCCGGCCCAGGTCAGCACTTTCTGCAGCCCCTCGATGCCCCCGGGCTAAATTAAGGCCCCAGCTGTCCCCAGGCAGTGCCTGCTCTGGCTTTTAGCCCCTCTCTGGGTCCAATTTTCAAAAGGACTCCACTCCAAGCTTCGTCCCGGCCTCAGAGTGCTTAGTTCCAAGCTCTGAATCCCCCAGACCTGGGAGCAGCAGCCCCAGGAGCCTCCAGCCAGAGGCATCTCCCATTCAGAGCGTGGCAGGAACCACTGCCAAGGGCTCTTCCAGAGGGAGCCACGGGAGGGAAAAGAGGAGGAAGCTCGAAGGGTGGATAAATAATGCACAGACAGAAAGTCCTGAGCCCAGAAAGCATCAATTATTTGTGTCTCCACAGAGTGGAGCGTGGAAGGAGCTGGGATGTGGGGACAGCTCACCAGTCCTTCAGGGATGCTGAGCACAGCCCCAGATCCCTGTTCACCCTGGAATGGGCTGGGTTGGAAGGGACTCCAAAGATCCCGGGACTCCAAAGATCCCCCAGAAAGCAGGGGCAGGCACAGGGAAGGGAACCAGCAGCACGCAGGGGACGGGGAGGGGACACGGGAATGTCCCTGGAGCAGGGGGGAGGCACAAGCCCAGGAGCAGCCCGGGGGTGGAGATGAGCAAGGTGGGGGCTGTCCTCCCGTCACCCGGCTGCCGTTGCCATGGCAACGGCGCAGAGATGCCTGTTGCTAAGGGTGACGGGGGCTGCAAGTCGGGAACGGAGGATCTGGCTCCAGCTGAGAGAGCCCGGGGCTC